GTCCGTCTAATTCCAGTTCCAATGGAAGACAAGTCCCAAACTAGTGAGCCCAAATTTGCAGCGAACAATAACTTAAAAACTGATGAGTTTGTTTAGGCAACACTCCTACAATTTTAAGCATCATCATACTTAAGAGAACAATTGCATCATATGATTCCAAAGTGAATGCTTGCCAAGAGTCAGTAATTATCAACTCTCTTGAAAAGAAAGAAGTTAAAAGCAGTATTTGTAGAATCTCCTAAAAATTCAACTCCTTGGTGAAATGGGAAACCTCTAAACAAGAATTGTAATTGTAATAGGAAACCTTTACAAACTACAGGGGAAACATACTGCCGTACTTAAAATAGGAAAAGGAAATCTTACAGGATTCTAATAAAACTCAGATCCTAAAAGATGAAACTGCTTGGAGAAGAATTATAATCCTTTAGGACACCTTTTTTTTTAATTGTGAGTCGATGCAATGGTCCATTTTCACCATAACTTGGTGGAAAGATCAATATCTTCGGCAAATATTGGCTTGCTTGATTTCGTTGGCTGCATCGTTCCCCCCATTTAGGAGAAAACTCATCCTCAAACTTTGAAGTGCTGAACAATTAGATTTGTGAATCATCCCTTTCAGCGTGAGTTGATTTTGTTGGTTGCATCACTGGCGTTCTAAAAAATCATGTGAGTTTTATTTTATGAACCTTAATGTGTCTCCTATATTTAAAGTGTTTTTCAAGTTGTAATCTGCTTTGATGTGGTTGTGCAGACGGTTGTTCTGATGCTATTTAACGATGCTCAGAAGCTTAGTTTTCAAGATATAAGAGACTCCACAGGCATTGAGGATAAGGAGCTGAGGAGAACTCTGCAATCCCTTGCGTGTGGAAAAGTGAGAGTCCTTCAAAAGGTGGGTGCCATGGATCAGTACTGTGATGTACTTTTTTGCCTGGTATTATTGAACTGCTGGTGTTTTAATATCCTAGGTTTCCTTGACAGGTGCCAAAGGGCAGGGATGTGGAGGATGATGATTCTTTCGAGTTCAATGAAGCTTTTAGTGCTCCTCTCTATCGAATAAAGGTAGAGTTCTGAGATTCAGTTTAGTCACTGCAGGATTTATGTCCCCTTATCCACCCAAAAAACCCGCTCCCCAACCCACTCCTATATTTTAAGCTAACAAGTGTAATATTAGTAGGAATGTGATCTTGATGTTGAATTTTCTTGATGAGCTCGCAGGTTAATGCTATCCAGATGAAGGAAACAGTGGAGGAGAACACAAGTACCACTGAAAGAGTATTTCAGGACCGTCAATATCAGGTTCTCTTAACTCGCGCTTGGTCATCTCCCTTAATTTTTATATGCCGATTGTGTATCTGAGAATGGAAAACAAATGTGATCATGAAGCCACCAGTGATGGTTTGTCTGGTTTGTTGAATTCTAGGTTGATGCTGCCATTGTTCGGATAATGAAGACAAGGAAAGTGCTTAGCCACACCCTTCTGATAACTGAACTGTTTCAGCAGGTAAATATATACCAAATAGCCTGTTTGTCTTTTTTCTGATGCAGAATAGCCCTATGAAGTATTTCCAATATGCGCGCCGTTATTAAACCAATATTATAGCCAGATTAGTTTGGTTGTTACTTTGAAGCACTCTGCATTACTCAGAGCTAGATTATAGCGGGGATGAGCTGGTGGATTGCTTAAAACCTAAATACACTAAAAGAATATTAACACTGAGGACCCCCTCCCGTCCATCGACGTGTGTCAGTCTGTCATTTGTCAGATAAAACCTAGCGTCTTGGTTATGTTATAAATAATTGATTGTCTTGATAATTGCATATTACGGAGCACAGCTCAGCTGGCTTTTGATACTTGATGCTTGATCAGGCCCGCGTGACATGGGTAACAGTGGGTTTGAATCTTTTCAATCTTTTGTTTTGAAGATAAATTAAGAAAATTGGGAAAATTTTGAAAATTTTCTGCTCGTTTCTTTCAACAAAAAATTTTATTTCTTCTAAATTTCTACACCCCCTTTTCATTTTCACCCTTTTCCCTCCTTGCCTTAACAAAGGGTTTTGCTATTTCTCTTTCATTTTATTTTCTTCCAATTGTATCATATTATTTGAAAATACTGGGGGTGTAATCGATGTAACTCTTTTTATAAACCTAATCTATTAGGTATAGATGGGATTTCTTGTTTTTTTTTTAATGAAATTTTTTTGGTCGGAAATTTTGAATAAATTATCATCTGATACTTTTGTCACTTTCCTTGGCTGAGCAGCTCAAATTCCCTATCAAGCCAGCTGATCTGAAGAAAAGGATCGAAAGCCTGATCGACAGAGAATACCTGGAGCGGGACAAGAACAATCCTCAAATATACAATTACTTGGCTTAGTCAAATTTGCTATTTTGACTTGGCAGATGTCACTGTATATGACCAATGACATGAAAGTTAGGCTGCTCTTTTGGATTCGGAAAGCTTAATCCCCTCATCAGATTTTATTGTACAGTTTGGGCTCATAAGGATCAATTTTACCGCCTTTTGGAGAGCATATTTTAATGCAATCGCCATTTCTTCGTACGGATATATGCTACGGGCGGGGCCTGGGGCGTGGATTTACCGTTACCCACGGCCCAAGATTGGGACGGATTCTGGCTGTGCCCTCTCTTTGGTTGCCGCCTGCTCGGTGTCACACCACCACCACAGTCAAGGTCTCATCGTCTTCTCCATTGAGCATGAATATCCGATCTTGAAATCTCTCTTATTTGATCGTGCCTTGACCGAGCTCCCGGCTGGCACACGTCGTTCTAACGAAAGTTCGCCTTGTTAAGCCTGTTAGGTGGGGCTTGCGCAAAAATCCTAGGCTCGGTCAGCCAATATGTTTATTAAAAAGGGTTTATAATTATGTTTCACTAGCAATTCTACCTTGATAACTAAAATTTATAAGCACAAACCAGAAAATAGGCCCAAACATCTAATGGAGGATAGAAAGATGGTAAAATGATGTTGTATCAAAATCATACTTATGGTAGTAAAATAAAACATCACAGTTTTAAAATTATTTTTCAAATATTCTATATTTATATATTTATCTGCTGAAATATATATATATAAAAAGAACATAAAGGTGGCTTAGTGGGCAGGTGTCGATATGTCATTTTGTCCGGATTTTTATCAAATTCTAGATAAAATTTCCCCCGTAATTACTCTAACCCGACAATCGCTCCCCTTTTTTTGTCTTTATCTAGAGGAGTTTTTCTTCTATACAATATGGGAATTGATCATTGGAGAACGAATGCGGTGTGTTTTAATTGAATAAGATTTCGAAAGAACACTTCAGAAAATAAAGTATATGCACTTGAGTCATACTTGTCTATGCTTTGAGATCTCCCATGAAACTAAATGAAAGACCATTTTAGGCCCCGAAAGAAAGGAACAATCACTTGGTAGAGGTCCTAGGATATCGTAGAGGCAGCACAAAAGATTGGTCTACCTTAAATCGAGAAAATTATCAAAAAAATCTTATATCTATTGCACTTTTACCATTTTACTCTTAAACATTTTAATTGTGCTAATTGAATCCTAAATCTTCTTACGTTTTGTCAATTGAGCCCATTCGATCAATTTTAGTTGGAAATTGCTGACATGGACATCGACTGTCCTATATGGCATGGTCGGCGCTGACGTGAAATTTTTTTAATAATATTTTAATAAAATTTATAAATTTTTATAGTTTTTTTCTTTATTCTTTCCTTTTCTTTACCTTTTTTTTGGAGTGAGTCACTCCAAAAACAAAAAAAAAAAAGAAGTAAAGATAAGGAAACAAAAGAAAAACATCATAAAAAATCAAAATATTATTAAAAAAATGTCAGCTTCAGCAATTTTTGGCTAAAATTAGCCAGAATGACTGAATTAGCACTATGTCAAAAGGTTTAGAACTAAATTGGCTCTAAAAAAAAATTTTAGAATTAAATTAGCACAAATACATTAGGTTTATAACTTTTCTTGATACTTTTCCTCTCAAACAGGAATCAAGAAGGGCAAGCACCCTCGCGAAGTGGTGGGGTCCGCGCTCAAAGCCACCGAGCAAGGCATAGGCGAGTCCTTGCCCTTGCTCAAGGCCAACCCACCATGCGAGGGCTCACCGCCTCCGTTGAGACCCTAACAAGGATCCTTAGTCATTGTCAACAGAGGAGTGATACGGGCGTTCTGTTCCCTTTTCTCCAAGTAAATTTTATTCTACGGACACTTCAACAAATTCTCGATCGGGAGCATAATGGGGGACTAAATTTTCGCAATTTTATAGGAGTATTAGGATTGAAATTAGAGATCAAAGATAGGACTAGCTTTGGACATCTTCCTGCTTCATATCAGCATGTTTGGACACTCGAATAAACTCACACTAAGGGTAAGCATGGTCTGGGTGGACGATCCCATCATGGAACCGGGAACCACTCACTAAAGACCGGTTCCGAAAATTGGAACTGAGAATCGCCCGTTGGTTCCATGGATTCACCCGGGAACCAGACTACCGGTCCGGTCCAGTTCCTAGGTGAGTCCATGGAACCAGTTCCACCACGTTTCACGTAGATGGAAGTGACCGAGAGTGAGAGAGGGAGGCGATGAACGGCCAAAGGCGTGACCGTGAGTTGATGTGAGTTGAGAGTCGAGTTTTAAATTAGGGATTTTAGGGATTTCATTTTTCTTAAAATGCTTTCATTGTTTTGTGGTTGAAATTTTTCCTTAAAAATTATATATACATTACTGGTCCGGTCTAGGTGAACGGTTCCATGCCTAGATCGGGAATCGGTACTCATCGATTACAGTAAATTGGAAATGGGAACCGCCGGTTCCGAGCAGCTCTTGGTTACTTTTTTTTTTTGTCGGAACTCTCGGTTCCTTTGAACACCCCTAACTCACACACAACACAACGTGGCAATGCTGTAATTTACTTCAAAAGCAAGGGGCGTGAGCGGCACAATTCGGCTACTTGGAATCCGGACCCAGCATCTTCTCCTCCGTCATCGCGAGTGGTGGGTGGGTCTTGTATTTCGGTCCCATTCGCATCGGAAGCAGCTCCGCTCGCAACCGTTTCGAGACCGCCATCGGGTGTCTCTGGGTTCCGTCTCCTTCGCCGCCCCCCTCTCTCGTCTTCTTCTCCGCAAGAGCAGAACCAGGAAGAAGATGGCGGCGATCACGAGCGCACTCATAGCGATCGCGGGGGTGGTGCTGGGTTGGATCGCCATCGAGATCGCCTGCAAGCCTTGCCTCGAGCGGGGCCGGGAAGCCATCGACCGGTCCCTCGACCCCGATTACGACCCGGACGACGACCGCCGCGGCAATGTCCGCGCCCCTCTGATCGTCCCCGGCCCGAGCCCCGACCCCGTAGATTCAGATCCGAAGCCCATCGACGACGACGACGACGACGCTCCCTCCGTCCCTTCCAAGATCGCGTGATCAAATGCGCTCCCTGCTCTTCCGGGTGGTTCGAACAATTGGTCCGATCCGTGATTGTTTTTTCTGCTCCGGCTGTCATTTTGTCGTTTGGGTTTTGTAATCTCTCTGCAAGTTGAAAGGAAGGAAGAGGATGATGGGAGGTTGTGCGTTTGCTCTTTTGCTTTCGGATTTTGGCTTTGCTTGTTTATTTATTTATTTGTTTGATTATTATGATGGTGAAATGTCAAATGAAAAAAAAATAAAATGAAAGAGGCCAGTTATCTATGGGATTTCTTATACATTATTGTACGGTACGATGACGTCATAAATTTTGGGATTCGGCGAAACAGGTGTGCTAAAAAAATTAGGAAATTAAAGTTTGAAAAAAAACTTCAAAAAAAAAAGAATCATGTTGGGATTTTCATTTCAAGTTGAGAGTTTGGAGTCATTGTTTTCATTTGAGAACAGACAAATATGAATATCAAACACGATTCCAAATGAAATTGGAAAACTCTGGCAAAAGAAAAAATATATGACAAAAAGAATAAATTCAGAAAATAGAAATTTAGAAAAATTCTGCGCGCCAAATGGTCCATAATTTTTGGGCATATGACTTGGATCACGTGTAGCCTATCGTTCGGGCGGATTTTATTCACCGAGCCGGCTTGAAAGACTTTAGAAATTAAAGATGTAATTTCAAATTTGAAATAAAAATTTAAGAAACAAATCAATTACTATTAGAAACCCTTCGATAACGCCATAAACATATTGAAGTTGATGATCAAACATCAAAGAATTTAAGAGTGGGTGTTTGTTACTGGTCAATCAGAAAGGGAAAATTGTCTAAAAAATCCTAAACCTATTGCATTTTTGCTAATTGAGTTCAAAACCTTTTAATTTTAGCAATTAAGTTATAAACCTTTTGACAATTTTCCAATTAAGTCTATCTGGCCAATTTTGGCCGGAAATTGTTGACATTGCACGGTCATCGCTGATATGGACATTTTTAATAATATTTTGAATTTTTATGATTCTTTCCTTTCCCCCCCTCCTTTTTTTTGTTTTTGTTTATGGAGTTAGGGTCAGTGACCCTCAATGGCTTTGGGTGAGGGCGCACGAGCCCTTGCCTAGATTCACGGAGGGCCGCCACACCCTTGCCCGGAGTTGGCAAGGGTCGGCCAGGCCTCGCCTGTGTCTGGCGAGGGTCGCTGGCCCTAACTCCAAAACCCCAGAAAAAAACAAAGAAAAGGAAAAAAAAGAGAAAAAAATCCATAAAAATTCAAAATATTATTAAAATATTAATTAAAAATGTCAATGTCGGCGTCGGCCATACCACATAGCATCCACATTAGCAATTTTCGGCTAAATTTGATTGGATGGACTCAATTGATAAGAAGTGAAAATGTTTGAGACTCAATTGGCAAAATTGAAATGTTTGATACTGAATTGATAAAAGTTTAATAGGTTTAGGAATTTTTGGACAACTATCCCCAATTAGAAACTATGGCTAAACCACATACATGGATCAAAAAATATATACCGTTAAATTCGACGTGTATGAATTTTTTTTTATTTTTACCGAAGCTCATAAATATTCAAGTAACTAAATTTTAGTTACTTGACAATGGCATATTAAGAGTTTTAAAATTTGATAGATAATAAAACATAGATTGCCAAAAATAATATAAAAAAAGTTGGAGGTTTGGCCCGAACCGATTGAGATCGAATTGATTCAAGTCGATTTGGGCCTGTTCTTTAATTGAGGCTGAGGCTACGGACTGCGCCGAAAGTTTCCTCCTCCAGGCTCAGCTTTGCTGGCCCATTTGCGCCCTGCTGCAATATCTCCCCCCCCCCCCCCCCCACCCCCCAAAAAAAAGGATTATTAGCAAATATGGCAAAGGAAACGGGGCCAAAAACCATAATTTTGCAAGGTACAAGAGGCTAGGGGTGTTGGAATCGAACTGGGAATTTCATGCATTTCGATTCGGTTCGATTTTTGGTTTAGATAATGAAAAATAACCATTCTTTTTTTTTCGGTTCGGTTCGATTCGAACCTAATGAACCGAACTGGAAAGATAACCTCTTTTTTTTCCCCCTAATCTTCAATGAAGAGGCATGTGAAATAAGAAAGATAAAGAGGTCTCGTTTCACTCTCGGATTCACGTCATTTGACAGGCTAGCTAGGGCTACAACCTTTATAGGTCCTGCTTAACTTGTGTCACGCCCCGCACCCCACGAGCTCGCAACACCTCGCTTGGTCGTTAAGTATGCGACTTCCCAGGACTAGTCGCCGACCCGATACAACAAACTAAGAGTAACACATGCGGAAGCAATTCAAATACTCCATTCAACATTCAATTAAACGGGATAGTAAAGAGACAAATGAAACAGAACAACAAGCCACTTTATAAACATAACGTTACTTACAACGGCACAACAAACAAGCCTTACTAGAGGCCTCCATTACAAACCATACACATACTAAAAAAGGATCGGATGGTTGGGTTAGCCTAACTTCTCTATCAAAAGGACTATTCAATCGACGGGAGCACTAAACGTATTAGTCATCCCCATGATGCCTAGGCGACGTCTCCGGATCGGACTCCAAGTACTCAGGCGTGCCCGAATCAGCCATGTCATCGAATGGCTCGGGTTTGGATTCAACAGGCTCCGGCTCGGGGTCAGACTCCATAGGCTCCGACTCGGGATCAGAATCTTCAGGACCGGTGTTCAGACTAGTGACAACTTCGTCTGGTGGCATGATCTCCATGGGGTCATACCCTGCTACTCCGTCGTCAGGAGGACCATCAAACCCGCGCAGGGGACCCAACATCGCATCTCTATCCCGGTAAAACTAAGCTAAAAAGGTGTGGGGTTGCCAAGTAGCCTTGCCTTCGTCTACCCACACAGTACTGGCATGCCTAATATACACCCTATCTTCATCTACCGGAAACTCCATCAACATATGGTCCATATCCATTGGGACCCCAAAAAGTTGTGGAGGGCCGTTCATGTTCATGGTCGAGGTGTCATGCCCCAAACCCCACGGCGCGTGAGCATCCCAACCGAGGTCGAAAGTGTGCGACGTCCCAGGACGCGTCGCCGACCCAATACCCAAACAGAGATCATTGCACATGCGGAAGTAACGAAAAACACCCGTACAAATAAAACACCACGAGACCAAGGATAGCACAAACGACAAACAACAAGTAACAAATACACGCTTGTATTAACCAGGGAAACATACATTATCCATTTACAGCGAAATACACACCACGAACCAAAACAGGTCGACGGCCACTAACTTCAAAAAAGGGTAGGTGGCCAGGAGGTGAGACTACTACCTAAGGTGGGGCTCCGATCAAAAAGGTTTTGGCCCGACTTATCTGAGCTAAGGCTAACCCTATGGAACCTAGTCCGAGTCGGATCCCGAGGACTCAGAAGATGAAGAACTGTCAGACAGCTCCACCTCGGAGTCTAAGGAATCCAGCTCGAACTCAGCCTCTGCCGGCTCCTCCTCAGAGTCTATCCCCTCGGGCTCACCCTCCTGCTCCATGCCCTGCTCCATGGGCCCTGGCTCCTCATCCGCCTCCATCGGTTCCGGGTCAGAGTCCCAATCCACTGGCTCCTCGTCCATCGGGTCCGGCTCATCCACCTCCCAGACGACAGGTCCGGCACCAGAACTCAAACTCCCCATCGGCTGTAGCTTCGGAGCTCGTCAGGTCTCCGTCAGGACACCGCGGATCCATTTCACCCAGCCCGTTGAACGGGACATCAAAAGTCCGAAGAGGCCCAAACTCTCCGGAGTGGTCCCTAAAGCACTAGGCTACGTACTCGTGGGTCTCATAATACGTTTTCCCCACATCAACCCATACTATAGTATAATGCCTAATATACATATCCCCGTTCCCTATGGGGTACTCGGTCACCGCTCTCTCTATCTGATGTGGGATCCCAAAACATACTGGAACTTCTGACACCTTCAAGGCCGGGGGTCTGAAAAGTTGGGTTTTAACAACAATGAGACGAATCTCAGCGAGTAAAACCTCCTAAACCTAAACTAGAATAACATGCACCTCCTGACAGACAACAAATCACAAACAACTAGCAATAATTGACAATCAATTGACTTAGGCCCTCGGGCCCAGATCGAACACATAATTGACCCTGCAGGTTAGACAGTTCATAATAATACTCATGGCACATACGCGATCACACTTAATCAAACGTACGCCATACGCATGCTCATATTTATTAGTGCCTGCCTCATATACGAGTCACCGGTACGCACATGCCCGCACACTTGCCCGTGCACTCTTGCACACATATGCCATCACTATGCCATGCTCATGATCTAGTTCAATAATGCACATTGGCACACTACCCATTTCTCAATTAGAGTTCGACCCGCGTAAAACGCATCAGGTCTAACAATCAATACCAACATTTCATGGCCTGCGTAAAACGCATCAGGCCTGGTGTCTCTAGCCCGCGTAAAACGCATCAGGCGCAACACCGATCTCCATATACGGACCAAAACCCGCGTAAAACGCATCAGGTTGGCCGTCTTCCTGTAGAACCGGCCATCGTCCCGCGTGAAACGCATCAGGACTTGTGGTGATCACACATGCACACGGCCAATTTTATCTAAACCCCGCGTAAAACGCATAAGGGCTATTAGGTGATCACATGCTCATGTTAGGCACGCATACTCGCACAATTCTTATCTCAAGCCAATGCTTAACATGCGAAATGCGTGGCCATGCCGTCCCGCACTTAGGCAATAATATGATGTACAATGAGCATCCAAATTCACATAGGCACATAATCAAATCAATGCCAAGTCATGCTCGATAAATGCCACGATGTGCTCAATTAATCATTTGACATGCTCACATTAATTACAATATGCCCAATCAACATACTAGCATGTCTAATTACGCAATTCATTTCCATCTCGCATGGCACATAATCGACACGCATAAATTATGCAATTAGCACAACACAAACTCTCACATTCGAGGCCTGTACTACTCCTCCATTCTCAGTCACACTTAGTCACGCGACATGGTAACACCAAATTAACATCCAATCAAGCACAAATCAGCCACTAATCGAACCATACCAAGCATGCTCGGGAATTCGCGACTAAACCCCAAATTGACCAATCTTAATCCCAATTAATCCCGATACGGACAGCCACAATTCAGCCCGTTCTCGACCATTTTTCCACTTCCAAATCAGCACCATGGACT